CTTGATTACAGTTGCGCGTACTCAGATTTAGGGATCATCACTTATTAAGTGCCAAAATATAGTATTTTTAAACAAGTGAATATAATAAATCCGGCGCGCTTATTGGTCACAATTTACGTCTTATGCTTAATTCCCCTACAGGTGAATATAACTCACGCACACGCACGCTCGTTTGTTGAATTCTGCAGCTTGCAGAGATAAATAATATTGGAAAAGACAAAAAAGTTCTCTTTCCGCTATTCATCATATTCACTTGCGTTAAAAATAGGAAGACTCGCGTCTAGGTAAATATTTCCCGATATTCACTTCGCTTTCGACGATTAATTGTTAAATACCAACAGCACTAGCAAAGTGCACAACTTCTAAAATTCAAATAAAGGACTTTGAAATTTTTCCCTATATATATACCAGGTGATTTCGGAAAGCGCGCAATGCATAATTTTCTGACTTGCAAAAGAATCAATCCCTAATATGACCGTGCGCCTAGAGTCCTGGACGAAACATTACCGAGAAGGACGCCATTTTGTTCTGAGTTGGATTTAAATATGTATTCTCTTGAAATTTAGTGCGAAATATTGGTGAATTACATGTGTTACGTTCTCGATTATTACCGATCCACACATATCTTGTTTTTCTGCTTCTCGAGGCGTGCAAAGGTCTATTGGGATTGATTCTTTTTCAGCAAACGCGATTCGCAATCTGATTGGCTAATCGATTTCCGTCAGATCACCTGGTATAAATATTCTACAGAAATCGATCCCTATCCCTGCTGAAGTTCCACTTCCCAGGTCGTCAGGTGCCTAACCTTATAAAATGAAGGTTCCTTTAACCATTCGCTCAATTTCCTGTCTGCTTTACCAACAACGATATTTCTTTCTATAACTTCTAGCCTTAATCCTTCTGGTTCAGTGTTTTCGTTTTTAGTTAAAGATACAGCCTCTTCGGTATGTCTTTTGTTTTTGGTACAAGCTGAAGTCGTGGTTTTAGAATTCATACTTTTTGAAGAAAAGCAGGATGCCTTCATTGGAACTGTAAAACAAAACACTTGGGTTAAAATAAGGCTCCATGGCAGAGGTTGGACAGACTTTTTCTCTTGTCATATCAAACCATGTGTTATCCTCATTAGGAATTATATGGTCTTACGGTTGAAAGCCATCGGGTAAAAGAAAATTTTTACTCTCATTTGGGAAATATTAATGAATTCTCATGTCATGCAAAATTATCATATTGTTCCTGCCATACAACATGGCTGCAATAACTAGAGCCCTTCATAAGAAACGTGGGTCTTGTCCATATAATTATAATTGTTTGTCAAAAGAAAATAATAATACTCAAGGGAAATACACGTGGAATGAAATAGGAAAATATCAGTTACATGCAAGCTGAAAAGGTGTGCGCCGGTATCCGTCAGCAAGCCCATGTATGGTGTTGCTGATGTGACGTCACATAGCCGCCATATGGGATTTAAGATGACGCAAAGAATTTCTGATGTCACCACCATTATAAGCTTTACCTTTAGCCTTCTTGAGCTTTCTACTTTTATTTTTCGATAAGTTGTTTGAGATGTCTTTGCTTTCGTAACCTTCATTGGGTGGTTCATCCGTCCAGATATGATATAGGAAGTTAAAGAAGGTTCCAGTACCAACTATAATAAAACCGAGATACTAGAGGGGGGAAATGCATATAATTAGTAATAGTTATTGAGATATCTATGGACTTCTCAATATGTCGTCAATGGTGTATTTAAAATCCGTTTATAGATATTATAAGTTTATTTGCAGCAGAAACTAAAAAGAAGTTTGCATAAATACGTAGGTGCAAATTTGAATTTTTGTTAATCACCGAGAAAATTCGCACGAATGAGAAAATTCGCACGAATGAGAAAATTTGGACGATGTCAAATGGCTTTTGCAGTCAGCCAATCAAAAAAGAAAGCAGGGTGCGTGAACATATGGCAAAAGCCATTTGACATCGTTTCCAATGCCATTGCGGAGCCATATTCATTCATGATTCTAAGAGCTAGGAATTCACACTTGTTAGCACATCCAAGAAACTCTTCTTTGTTTCCGTGAATAGATCTTTTCATCCAGTCCAGTTTTAGCCAGTAAATTACTGACAAAATTGAAGCGCAAACATATCTAAGAATTACGTCTGATCTTACCATGAATTGTTTCCAGACATTCGGAGATAAAGATTCTTCCTTGCTCTGACCAAGCAGAATCCATGTTACAACATAGATAAATATCCCACACATGAACGTCACTGCCGACCTGAAAACCCACAATATTACATGTAACTTTCAGTTTATCAGAGCTTTTATGCACCAAGAATTTTGTATGGTTACATAAGGAAATTTTTGATGGAAATGGTTTCCTTTCTCGAGTAAACAAGCTTATACTTTCTGTCAGAGGCAACCATGCTGTATGGAGGACAAGAGAAAGTAAATCAGTTTTTGCTGTGTTATATTTATTTGTAAAAAAAAGTTGAAACACGTTTTGCCCGAACAAGTGGAATGAAATTCACTTTTCGTGAGCTAAGAAAGTTTCTTTTGTCCGTACGATACATGTGAGCCAGTAATGTCATCCAACATGGCTTCCTGCAGGTGGTCCTTTATAACCATATTACATTACGTTTTCTATTCTCATTGCTTTCTGAACACGAATGAAAAAGCTAGCGAGATAATCGTTCGTTCTTAAGAGACTGATCACCACATCGCACCGAAGAATATGCATCGTTGTGTGCAAATAATCATTTCAAAGTCATAAAAATGAAAAAACAAAGACAATAATGAAAACCTGTAATAAAAAATGAAAAAACATGTTTAATTAAACAAGTTTTATTTGAATTAAATCAATGAATGTTTTGTCGCCATGCAATGTAAAACTATCCGCCCCCTCAAGTTTCATCCCACTTTTAAACCGATTGTCACGTACCAAATAGTCCAAACACCTTTCTTTGTACTTACCCGACAGCCAAAAGGGTAAGCTTGAAAAAGGCGTATTTTTTGCTGCATGTTTTTTCCTTTGGTTTTGTATCGAATTTGTTTTGTATTTTGAATCATTAGGGCAACTAATTTGGGAATACCGTGAGCCAACGTTTTCTTCAGCTTAATTAAATTTAAAAAATTTCAATTTTATCTGCCAAAAATAAAGCGCCACCTCCTAGAATTCGAATTTCAGATTTTTATTTTAAAATGAACTCATTAAGATGGAAATTATCATTAGAGTCTAACATGTTAAATTGATGAAGATTTTAGTGAAGTCTGTTTAAATGAAGAAACACTAAACGAAGAATCATTTATTTCTTTTCTTTGCATATGCCTTAAAAACTACTCGAGATGTTTTGAATTGTAACCAGCAACTCACCTCAAAGCACTCAGTTCAATTGCATCGGTTTTGCTTCTGCATATTTCAGGAATCAAAGCTAAGTGACCAATCTGTGTAGCGCCCCAGCCGAAACAGCAGAAAGTCCCCAATCCAATATAATACCACATCTTAGTTCCCGAAGGTTCATCCTCACAAGATATACAGCGCATAAACATCATTGGTACAGTTATCGTAACACAAAATGTACCAACAAGATGCCATAATTTTCGTCGTCCATAGCGACTGATAGTCCTGTCACAGAGCCTTCCAACTACAGGATTCCACAAGGCCTCCAAAATCTGACTTGACAGTATCACATAGCCAGCGTGTGCATTGGAGAGTTCGCTCACTTTAGTCAGAAACACCAGAAGATAGCTAAACCAAGCACTGCCGACTAAATCGTTCAAAACATGGCCACAAGCGAAGGAAAGTTTTTGGCTCCAAATAAGACGTTCATCCTTTAGTAAAGTAGTTGATTTTGGACCACCTCGACGAAATGGCTGACAATTAAACATCATTTTCTTGCAAGAGCTTTCCATTCGAAATCCTTTGCAGCTAAAGGTTTTTTCCAAATAGATACGTTCACCGTGCCGGGCTTAAAAGTAAATGTTTGGATATTCGTATGATGTTGATGATTACAATCATACGATGCGGTTAAGACAATTTATAATCCCACTGTTTCCACAAGCCAGCGGTTATCTCACTTGAGTTTTTACTTCAATATGAAGGCAGATTATTCACTCTGTCAGATCACCAAAGGCTCCTCCAATAATGAAAATATTTACATAAAAAATGTGTTTTAAAAAAGACAAAAAGAACAAATACCTAATATCTTAATTACCCCACAAACCAAACATTATTTAAAACAAGGCTGAAGATACCGGTGTTGTTACGAGTACTTTACATTTTCGTTGGAAAAATTACATCCAAAGTTGAACTTTATATTTAAATTTTATTCAAATAACAAAACCATGGATACAATATAAAGTGGCTCTGTTATGAAGAATAAGAAAAAAATGATCGAATCAAAAAAGGCATAAAAGAAAACATGTAAGAGACAAGCACAAGCTTCAACAATAAAATTTGGACCATTAATTTTTAATGATCTTCATAATATTGATATAGAATTGAAAACAATATAAAAATCTAGAACTTAAGGACCTATAGTTCTTTCACTTGTGGCTACCATTTCATAATGATTTTATAGATTTTTCCCAGGTACCTAAGTCTTGTATCAAAGATTTTAGTTCAGAAAGAAGTTTACTCAAAAATTGGTTATTCTGGAAAAGGATTTAGATCTATTCGAATTCTACTTCTGCCGGAATAATTTGATCAAGATTCCCAAACGTTTGTAAATAGCAGACGCAGCTAGATTTTCTTCGAGAAAGAATTATTTGAAAAAAGGATAACAATAAATCCATATTTTACAGTAACTCTGTAATATGGTTGGATTTTATGTTGTTTATTTTTACCCCTATATATGGCTTGAAGCTTATACAGCTCATGAAAAAATACTTATTATGATAATAGCGCACAAAAGCAGACGTCGACAACTGAGCTGACCTAATATCTTCATTTAAAAGAAGTAGAAAATAGAATACTACAAGAATATGGAATTCTAACTATTCTTTTGCATTCATTCTATTATTTTATTTCATTAATTCTGTCGTTTAGCTCTTCTGATATAGAGAAATATTCATACAAAAAGATAAAGCTTTATGAGATCAACATCCAACAAATGCGAATGTATTTGTAATAGCATAATTGTTTGACCATTAAAACTTTACTATTGTATTACTACGAAGCACATGTCATTGCCTCTTAAAGGTATTCCTAAATATGCTGAGAAAATCTTTCTACTAACCAAGCTAAGAAAAACTGCTATCACAAACTAGTCGATAAATTTAGCTGGCTGTGTGTTAAAATTTTATTTGGGTTTAAAAAGGCTTGCTTTTTTTTTGAGGAAAAACTTGTTCGGCTAGAATCGCTGTGGTATCAATTGTGATCAAATATAATGTTAACAAGAATACCCATCATGAAAACGGTACTAGCTGCTTGTGCTAAATAGTAAGTAGTTTTTATTTAGACAAAAAATTGATTTTTTGTACGCACTTAATCATCATCATCATCACCACCACCACCATCCGGCACCATCATCATCAACATCACCATCATCATCAACAAAAACAATGTAATCAGCAGCATGATCACCATCAACATCCTCATCCTCCTCAATATCAACTTCATCAGCAGCAGCATCAACATCTTAATCATCAGCATCACCATCATCATCAGCAGCAGCATCACTATCTTAATCTTCATCATCATCATCAGCATCACAACCATCACTATCTTAATCATCATCATCAGCATCAGCAGCACCATGCATCACCATCAGCAGCACCAGCAGCATCACCATCTTAATCATCATCAGCAGCAGCAGCATCACTTTGACCACCACCATCATTATTATCACCATTATCTGACAGTCGACTGTATGCCTTACCATCATACTATTGATATTCTTTCCAACGATGGCAAACGTTCAGCGGACATTAGTTTGGAGTTGAGATAAACATCACGTTATCTTCATAATCATTGATGTCTAATACCTAGCAAATATCATCATCCTATTGTTCTTCATAGTTCCAACAACGGTGATGGTAAACATCCAGACATTTGGTTTAGAGTTGAGATAAACATTTTGTTATCTTCATCATCATCATCGCCATCATCATCATTGTCGTGTAATACCTAGCATATGTCATTATAACATTATCAATTTTTCCATCAAAAAAGATTGTAAACTTGTTATCGTCATCATCACTGTCGTCTAATATCTAGCATCACATGTCATCATACAACTGTTCTTCTTTCCAACAAAGGTGATGGTAAACACCCAGACGCTAATCTAAAAGCTGTGTATTCATTATTTGGTGCTGTATCATTCATAAAGTTTCTTGCTTCAAATGAATCAGATTGCTTCTGCCAAACATCATGGTTTGGTTCGTGTAGAGTATTGTTTGGTGTTAAAGATGCACTAGAATGGTTAGTTTGTCTCGAATTAATATTTTGTTTTTCTACTGGAATATCCGTTAGTCTTGGTGTAGTAGTGTGATGTTTGACTCGTGGAATGTTATCACAGATCATATCGTCGTCTTGTTTTTTGTCTTCTTTAATCTCTACTTCAATCTCTGCTTGTACTCCTATGTCACGTTTTTCAACTTTGAAAGGAAGAAAACAAACTGATGAGTAACAAATATGGCGATCCATCCATCCATCCATCCATCCATCCATCCATCCATCCATCCATCCATCCATCCATCCATCCATCTATCTGCATAAGTCTTGATAACTACGTATCTGCGTTTATTTCCGTATTAGACAAATATCAATTTTATGGCCACTCGATCGGCCAAGAAAAGGATTTCTACGTACCTCTTCTATGACACACAAAGATAGAATCAAAAAAGACAATAGCTATGATTAGGGCGACTGTTGCGGCGATCCCTGGAGCAAGACTCTGTATGTTACGCACATAATCATCACAGGAAGCACACTTATCTCTAAAATATGAAGAGCATCAGTGAAAAGATCTGCCTTAAGCTAAGCCACAGTAATATGCGCAAAAAGTTATCAAAGACGCCTTAGCTTTTGCGGATGTCTAGCATCAAAGGTGTATATTGTCAAAGTTGAACATTGACATTTGTGAACTAGTTTCGATCCATAAACCTGGGCTCGAATCCCACCTCATGAACGAGTCGAGCTGGGCTTTCGTGGTGTCAAATAATCCCCTTCACAGTTCCCGGCGCCATCGTAGCCATGCCTTTACATCAAAGCGAGACGAACGGTGAGCTTACAATGATAGAGACGTGTGAATAGGTGTTTAAAAAAGGTCTTTATCATTGCAAGCTCACCGTTCGTCTTGCTTCGATGCATGGCTACCTTTCAAGATGATGCTGCCTGGGAACAGTTTAAAGACAAGAGTTTTTACTCGAGTCGAAGTTGGTACTGTCTACCCAAAAGTGGTGCCCATTTCCCGTGCGAGATTGTCCAACAGTTCACTCTTTATTGTCAAGAGATTAATAAAGCTTTTACTAACGTTTGTTGTTTTCTTGGGTTGAGTTCTTGTATAATAGCTATAACAGCTCCACTTGACAGTTTGTCTGTAAAACTTATCGCCCCGTATACAAAGGCGCCTGATTTCTGGGTAAACAAAAATAGATAAAAATAATTATTTTTCGGCAGTAAAAGGACAATACGCTCAAAAGGTGTTGGTGAATGGCACATCTGTGCCGGACTTTCTCCAAGTCATTATGGTACTTTTTCTTATTATTATTGCAGATGGAACGGTAGGTCAAAATAGATATCAGCGTGACAATGAGGCGAGTCGATCAGTGTTGTATTGTGTTGACCTATTAACGGGAAGTGGCAAGAGACATGGGCTGCTACGTGATCTCTTCGCAATACACCGCATTCAACCTCCAGCACTCTAGTTTCGGGGTCCAATGGCAGATAACAAATGAAGGCTTTACTTTACTAGAGGCTCGACCTTACCGCTATCCTTTGAGTCATCATGAGCAAAGCGTACCTTATCGTGTCCAATGAGTTCCGAGATCAACGACAAAGCCGTGACAAGCATCACTGAACCACCGACACCCATTAGGACAGTAGTGGCATAAATAGCATTACGTCCTTCAATGGACTGGAGAAAGTACCAGAAACATGCTCCCAAGGCCATCAAGGATCCAATACAGTAGGTGATCTTAAAGGAGTAAAAAAAAACATGAGAAGACAGTTATCAATGATGAGTAAACTGGGATATGTTGTGTAAAGGTTTCTTTCCGCACGACTCTAAAACTGCACAGCACTTGGCACTTTCATAGTACGGAATTCACAGCATCCTTTGGACCAATAACAGAGCAATGAAAATGCTTCGAGTCGGACAAACAGTACCGTGGAGGACACGGCAATGTACTTACATCCATAGCGTGAGTTTCTCAAATTCGTACGAAATAGATTACTAGCTTGCGAGGCCCAAACATGGGAGGTCACTGGGGATTGAACAGTGGACCTCAGTTTAAGAAAGGAGAGCACTAGCCAACGTAGCCACAATTTAGAACAGGATTGGGTGAAACATTTCTAGCTTGAGAGGCCCAAACATATGTGAGGTCACTGGGGATTGAACAGTGGACCTCAGTTTAAGAGGGGAATGCACTAGCCAACGTAGCCACAATTTAGAAAAGGATTGGGCGAAAATCTTGACATACCTTGCTTCCTAGTCTTTTAGTTAAAGGTTTGACTCCAATACTTGCAAGAACTCCACTGATAAGTACGACGAGGGGGAAATACGCAATTGCCTCCTGCAAAAGACCGATCAAGAAATTTCTAAATTGAAAATTTCAGATTGAAAGGCAGACATTAGTTTCACGCCTCAGGCAATTTGCCCAAGAAGGTCGTCTGACTTGCGGGTCTAAAAAAGGTCTTCTTTGAGATACGCCTTAGACCTGCAATCCAAATCTACGGAGAGGAAAGGTTCCAATACAAATATTCAGCTTGATTCAGGCTCCACAAGTACTAATATTTAAGTAATATTTACCTTGTTAAACTTCATAGTCTCGGTAAGGTAGATCGGTAAATAAGACTGTGAGACATTTACAACTATACGAGTGCACATGTAAATCAGTGCAACCTGAAACCACGAAAAGACAGGGTTAATTAAACTGAACCTTACAGAAGAAAAGGGAGGAAGGGCGGTGCTCGCTATTAATGCGTCACCTGGCATCGTGGGTACTGGTCTCGGGCCTGTCATCACAAGTTGATAGAGTTACTTGTTTTTCTCTCCTATTCTTCGAGAGTTTTCTCCTGGTTTCCTTCCTCCGTAAAAACATTAGTCAACTCTTCCAAAATCCAATACACTCTTTTACCTTTGGCCAATAAAATTTACTACCATTTCAGACCAAGGTCATTTTCTTTGTTTGAGTTGTATTCATATTCATATGTCTTCTCATGTACAGCCATTAAACAAAGAAAAGATACTCTAGGGAATGACACGCGGAAAACAATACGCCTAAACTAAAACGATCTATTTGATAATGGCATGACGGACCACAGACTATTAGGCGTTCATACCCTCCAATTTTAAAACCTTACCTTATAGAGCGTAGGATCTGTCATCCATTGTTTCTTCGTCCTTACTTGTTGTACTTGTTGTACTTGGTGTTCCTTACTTCTATCGATAATTTCAAGTTCTTTATTATCTTCAAGTCCATGATCCTCCATCAACGGAGTATCCTCGTTTATGTTGCTACTACTGTGCGAAGTGTACAATTCGCCGTTATTATTATTCTTGGAATGCTTGTATTTTTTGTCATCATATATTGAGACTAAAATGGAAGGAGTGGCGCCACTACGTCGGTTTGGTGAGCCTGCTGCTTGGTACCCGACTTCACTACAAGCTGTTTTAAAAGGGATTTAAAAAGCTTTTCAATACGTGTTGGCACTGCTTGTCCCATACTTGATTTTATTCCATACACATACGCAAACCGTACGGTAAAGACTAGACAAATATATTAAACAGATAAATAACTTAGTAAGTATGACAAATAGGAAGAACTACGAAACATTAAACTGCAAAACGATAAGAACTATGGAAACGAATAACTTACATTTGTGTATGAAGGGACGAAACTGCGAGCACCAACTAAGTATTTACATAGAGGGCGTATATAAGGCGTACAAAAGCTCCTAAGGGACAAGACTAAATGACGAAACAATGACGAAAATACTTAGACTGAAACAGCGAAACAAAAGCTATAGAACACTTATAAACAAACCTAAGACAAAGAGAACTACACTAAAAACTCATTATAGGCTTTTCAGATCTAACAATACGAATTAAAAGAGAATTGTTGCAGCGGCCATGTAGAAATAGCAAAGCAATAGCAATTGTATTTTCATTTGGAAATTATTTTTTTGTCATAGCATTTTCCCTGCTCTCTAACATGGCTGTCGTTAATAGAACGTTTTCCTGTTCGTAGAATACCGCTGTAGCGTCTAGGGACAACTGAATGGAAGCGAGTTAAGTAACGCCTCATTAGTAAACAAAGTCTACTCAGTACGATATCTTGTGTCAAAGTCATTCATTTTACCACTTCGAGTTCTTTTTAGGGTCTAATGAAGTAAGGGTGAATGACTTTGACACAAAATATCGTACTGAATAGACTTTGTTTACTTTGTTTTCTCTTCCTTAACTCCATTTTCCCTTCAAGTGCTACTATGACGAAAATCGCTCAAACTTGGATTCAGCTGAAACTTCCTAAGAATACTCTTTAAAGGTCCAGTATTCACTGTATGAAGTGTTTTCTCGATATTCAGGACGAAAGTATGATATTTTTACGATTCTTTTTTGGAGTCTGTGACGTCATACACTCAATATCAAACATTGCTACATATATTTCTTTATATATAAATCCTTAATTTATTTTATTCCTATGAAGCCCAAAGGGTGGCTAATGTGCTTATTTCACATTACTTTTGACTATAATTTATATTTTGGGGTGTTTGGGTAATTCTTTCTCCCTTTACTACTGACATTTTGATCATAAACTACAAAGAAATGTATGGAGCGATGTTCGATGTTGAATGCTCCGCGCCTATGACATATGATGGTTTTCAACGTACCTTTTTTACCATTACAGCTACTTGCAACAGCTTTTGTTCTCTTCAAGTGTCTCTTCGCTAACCATCTGACGAGAGCTTCGGACTGAGGCTCCTTTGTTATCGCGTGAAAGAGGACATTAAATAGATTTCCTGTTGCAACGATTATGAATGCCAGGTACTAAGAAAGGTAAAATAGAAAATAATTTTGATGAAAGAACAAACACTGCAAAGTAAAGGACTATTTTGGACTCCACCAAAATGATACCATTATCGCAAAACGATGAAGAATGATGAGAGATGATTCGTTGAGATAACCGGAGGAGTCACCCTTCCTTGTGACAAATCCTGGATATCGATTCGCTCGTTTTCCTTGTTATTAAAACTTACCATAAACTGCTTCCACACACTTGGTGATAGAACACTATCTTTGCTTTCTCCCAGTAGAATCCATGTCACGCCATAAACATAAATGCCGCAGATAAAAGTGAGCGCAGATCTGTATAAAGACAAATACGAGTCAGCATTCCAGTCAGAAGACCAACCAGATGATATTTAAGGTAAGGACAAACGATGCGTTTTTTCATGCTGTGAAAAGCTTATACGAGGCTATGACGATAGATACCTCACTGCGCATGCATTTATACGAGTACCGCGTTCATGCGAAAGCAAGCAACAAGTCACTACTTTTTAAGAACTAAAAACATTTCCAAGACTTATAAACTTTTAAAGATTTGACCTCAACTCCCTCCTCCTATTTAATCCAAGATTCAGTTACTGCCTAAAGGTTTCATTTGACAATCTATCGATGATTGTTTTACTGTTTATCAGTGGGGTTTGACCCATTAAGTTGACATTATTCGTTAATACGTAAAGAAGGAACTATGACTTCCGCCGCAGGATCCATGAATATCAGGAAATCTTCTATCACAGGAAAAAGGGGATTATTCCAAAGGTTATTCGATGTTATGATAAAGTTGCACGTAAATATTATTCGGTTATAACGTCCCCAGTAGTTGTCTCTTTATATCTCAGTAATTGTTAACTTTGGATTCAGGTTTCATCACTTCGGACACACGATACTTGTCCAAATTTATATTATTTTATTTTTCTCAGTTCGCCCAAAGAAAAACAGGTCAACTAAACGGAATCCTACATACATCCTTTCCAAAATTATCTTGGCAAGGCTAACAGGTAAATACTAGAGAAATCACGCTTTTTGTCTATCTGTGTTGTTCTTTTGTATTTTCCTATGAGCCTAACCAAGGTTACTTCGAAAGAGGTCTCATCATGCTTTGCATTGAGCAAACGATTTACAGACAGATTTTGATAAAACAAGAAAGTCCGCCAAACCTTCATTTCAACGTCCACATTTTCTCCCTGAAAAACTATTGCCTTTTTTATATTTTATCCTGAAGATAAAGAAAATAATAAACTCGGACTTAAAGAACTATGTATAGCATTGTCACATTCGTGCAAGGTGCAAGTTACGGTGTGCTTGTCAAAAGTGTAGCACGCGTGCCTCATTCGTTCTAACCTCTTTTTCGACCTTATTCTACTTCATCCGGAACGTGAATAAAAAAATCAACATTATCTACTTATTGCTGCTGTGATTTGCTTTATCACAGTCACGGGTATTATTAGGGGTCCAACAAAAGAGTTTTTTTCTCAACATTTTCTTGATACATGTCAACCTTGGTTCATAAACGACACTTCACTGGGTTCTTGAACAGAGCGTGATGGAGTGGATTCATGCCTATTAAACCGTTCGGTCTAGAGTTCAGTCTGATGATTGACAATTTAACTTGTTCCAAACGTTTTAAAAAAATCCGTGTAGAGTCACTGATGGGGAAGAGAAAGTGGGATAAAGTACGCACCATTACATTTCTTGGAAACCAGGTACTAGCTGAAGTAGTAGCTGAACTGACGTTAAATAAGGCCCTTTACTTTGTTTTTAAACGGTTAACAAGGTAAACAAAGGATGTTTTTTCTTAAAAATAAGCTTTTGTTCAAACAAACTTGGAGGTCACAAAAATTTCGTGGGATAATCGAATGCTTTCAAATAATTTAGTTGCAAAGAAAGTAAGAAATAAAGATGAAAGGCATGATTTTTTCAAAAAGTTTTCGGATCAATTAGACGTTACCTCGATCCTTGGATTCAACCGAATATTTTACAACAATGATCAAGCCACTCTAACCCATTATCTTTCCAGGCATGTTTGTCGAAGGATTAAAGTTGTTTAGCTAATAACATGTGCATTATAAATAAGTAGTTATTAAAAATGGCTCTACTGCTGTTGTCATTCGTATTGCTTGGCATATTAGTATTGCGCATCAGGGGTGACGTAAAATGAATGCACTACATATTATTCTCGCTTCTTATCTATGCAATTTGTGAGCCTTAATATCACGATTAAACATGTCTTCCATTTACCCGCGGTGCATAGAATAAAGAAACTAAATTAAAAAGATAAATAACTAATTGCTCAACGAGACAACTCAGAACCCTACCGTGCCATTGAGCAAGACCTACGTTACCTGATAGCGTTCAGTTCCACTCTTTCATTATTTCTGTGGCAAATTTCAGGAATTAGAGAAAGATGACTTATCTGCACACATCCCCATCCAAATTGAAATACGGCAGCAATAGCAACATAATAACCGACTTTCAAATTCGACGACGACCCTTCAGGAAGCATTTGAATGAAGAGCATTGGAAACGACAAGCTAGTCAAGACACTACCAATTAAATGCCAAATTTTTCGTCGTCCATAACGACACACTGTTCTATCACAGAGGATACCTATAAATGGCGTAAACACAGCATCAGCAATCTGTCCCAGTAGAACGACCAGTCCAGTATGCCTATTAGACAGCCCAGCTACTTTGGTCAGATAAATAATAAGATAGCTGAACCAGACACTTGCGGCTAGGTCGTTCAAAATGTGCCCAACTCCATGGGAAAATTTCTGCTTCACTGGTAAACTTTTCTTTTCTGTATGGCTTTTTGATGTTATTCTTCTAATGTAATCCATAGCGATATGTTATAGGCTCAATGCAGTCCATGCACCTTAGTGTTCTCTTTGGCTGTGTTTGTGAATTATCTTGGAGATAATGATAATCCTACCGGAAATGACGAAAGAAGGTTACACCATTGACAGTTGACGTCTATTTTTTTGATACATTGGATGTTCTCAATCACCCGACAGGCGACCAACGAGCAAATCTGACCAGATGTATTCAGCAATACCCCTATCACTCAACAATACACAAATTATAAGTATATATGTAATATATAAATTAGCGTTCTGAGAGGTTATGTATATCAAACCTTATGTATGCACTTTCGATCCGATTATGTAGATTCTTATTCCCTGGTCCTCTGGTCTTATTTAGGCCTCGATCTAGGGAATGGTGATTTTAACACAGTGAGGATTTGTATCAGGCTTTGAATATCTCTGAAGTTCAAAGCCTTAAAGTCAACTGGCTGGTCTTGTCGAGGCGGTCTTGTTGATACGCATCAAAGCCATTGGATCGTAATCTTTTAATCCGTGACTTGGAATCAGGGACCGGACAATAGTTATTTTAAAAGGAACGTGACCTGCACACGTATTAGACTTTTCAGTTATTCATATCTAGTACCATTTTTTCTTACGAGCCTTACCTTCTACTGAGTGTACCCTTGCTACCTGATCGCCTTACGACCATCATGTGAGGTCAACTTCTCTTATCTATGGATTTTCTATAAGGGGGAATTCAAGAACTTAATCTTAACGTTTCTTAAAACGGCTTTAAATTGGGCTCATAATATATAATATGTTCGTCATGTTTACAATATTCATTCCCAATGACACCATAATCTTTGGACTAATCCTAGAACTGGACTTTGAACCTTCAATTGACCAAATAATATCCCCAGAGGAGGGCTCTCGTCTGGAACGGGATTCTACTTATGATTGATACGGTCATTAGTCTACTGTTGTTAAACTGATGAAAATTGTTTCCTTTTGTGATTTACAGGAGCTCATTGCAAGCAAGATCTTCTGAGCCACCGTGTAAGAACTGATGAAAAAAGTGGCGAAGCGAGGGAGCAACTTAGTGAAAGCTAACCCCAGACTCGAATGTGATTTTTTTTTTTTTTCGTTTTATTCATTATCTTAGACAAGGGCGGCAAATTTGAGATAGATATGTTTTATTTTACGTTGGAAGGATACTGCCACAGAGCATCCTTTTCTTCTTGAATGATTTTGCCTCAATTCATTGGCATTGCTTTTAGGCATGAACATAAACCCGCCCTTTGAAACCTTTATATTCAATGTCTTTAAAGAAAGAGTTCCTTAAAGTATCGTCAGACTGGTATATATTCGATAACAAATAAAGAAAAGAGAAAAGCTAGAGTTTTGTTTCTGTTATATTGGATAAATTAACATAAGATTGCTTGAGGAGACATGCGCCTCCATCGAGATAACAAACTATTTGAACTTACCCTAGCTGCTCGTCTAGCTGGATTTTAGATGCCCTGAAAAGTTGAAACTTTGCTGCTATATTATCAAAGTGCTGCTTGTCTTTGTAATGCACGTTTTTTAAGTTGTTCCATATAATGATAACGAATAATTGACTACAGTACAAACGTTCCTCTAGGTTTTCTTAAATCAACCACCTGTTATCCTTGAAAGCTAAGCCAAAACACTTGCCAAGCATTGAGGAACACATTTGACATTTCATAGCAAAGCAACCATCTATTGAATGATTCTATTCATGGTAATTTTTTGCATTTTTTAGACTTCCACAATTCCACACCTTTTCTGGTATAACAACACCCAAATTTCATCACAGCCTTTTTGATTAATAACCGCTAAAATGACCTGTTTTTCCGATGGCAAAAATCCTACCCTATAAAAATGCGTCATTGGTTTTTACGAGAGTCAGTATCACTTTACAGACAGTGGATAACAAACCTGTGTGATTCGTTCTATGATGTAATTGGAATTTAGGAGTTGATATGATTCTATAGCAGTGCAGGGAAATAAAATCGAAGATCCCTCCGGAGAAAAACGCTGGAAGCACATGAGAGAACCAACATTCGACTTTATTCAAATACCACACCGAAACCACAATGACTATAACCCGGGTTGCAACCGATGAGTTAAGACAAAGTGTAAAGTAAGGGCTAAATTTGATAACATCCAGGGGCTATAAACCATCCTTTTTCATCAACAATCTCGAAAAATCCGACCTGTTTTTAAAATAGCACAAATCCCAGCCAAATACAACCCCAAAGATGAGAAATACGAGACAAATCATGCTTTTCGGTCAAATATTGAAAAAAAAAACCTTTTTTGCATCACTAATAAATAATCAATCAAATAATAATAATATAATCGATAAAAACCATGGGCCAATGCCAATGCTTTTTGGTCAAAAATGTCTCAAAATGTCATATGGGCATCCCTCATAAATAATTCTTCTTCGTCAGAAATGGCCCAGAAATACCTATTTTGTATCCCTAAAAAAATGCATAATATCTAAAAAGTGTGAAAATGGGTCAAAATCGATCAAAACCATGAGCTATGGTCCATGCTTTTTGATCACAAATGGGCAAAAATGACCTTTTTTGCATTCTTCATTAATAATGCATAACTTTTAAATAGGTGTGAAAATGGTCCAAAATCGATCAAAACCATGGGCTATAGTCCATGCTTTTTGCTCAGAAATGGCCCAAAATGACCTAATTGGCATTCTTCATAAACAATGCATAATTTCTAAAAAGGTGTGAAAATGGCCCAAAATCAATCAAAACCATGGGCTATAGTCCATGCTTTTTG